ACTCTGACAGAGGTGGGGAGTTCTCCTCTGGCCTATTGGAGGCCTTCTGTCAGCAGGAGGGCATTGAGCAGTCGTACACGCTTCCGGCCTCTCCACAGCAGAATGGGGTTGCTGAGCGCCGCATTGGTCTGGTCATGGAGGTCGCTCGTACCTCCTTGAGCCATGCGGCTGCCCCCCATTTTCTGTGGCCGTTTGCAGTCCGATACGCTGCGCATCAGCTCAACCTCTGGCCCCGTGTCTCCTTGCCCGAGACTTCTCCGACACTGCGCTGGACGGGAGAGGCTGGCGATGCGTCGCGTTTTCGGGTCTGGGGATCCCGAGCTTTTGTCCGCGACACGTCCGCGGACAAGCTCTCCCGTCGCGCTGTCCCCTGCGTCTTCCTTGGCTTTGTCCCGGACGCCCCTGGTTGGCAGTTCTACCACCCCACCTCGCGGCGTGTCCTGGCCTCTCAGGACGTCACTTTTGACGAGTCCGTCCCCTACTACCGCCTCTTCCCCTACCGCACTGCCCCGCTCCCCCCCCCGCCTCTCTTCCTCGCTCCAGGTGCTGAGGTACCAGACCCCCTCCCCCCTCAGGGTGCCGCTCCCTCAGGTGTGTCCCAGGTAGACCCGGGTGAGCCTGTCGAGGTAGCTGTTGACTCTCGTCCTGCTAGGGGTGCTGAGCCTGGGGGTGCTGCGTCTGGGGGTGCTGAGCCTGGGGGTGCTGCGTCTGGGGGTGCTGAGCCTGGGAGTGCTGAGTCTGGAGGTGCGGAGCTTGGAGGTGCTGAGCCTGGGGGTGCTGAGTCTGGGGGTGTTGAGTCTGGGGGTGCTGAGCCTGAGCTTGCTACACCTGGAGGAGCCCTCTCCTCCCAGCAGCTGCAGGAGAGGTACCTCGAGTACTGCCGCCTCCGGAGAGGTGCTGCTGGAGCTCGTCCCGGTACTTCCCCTCCTACCCAGGAGCTCCCCCCCATTCAGCAGATCCGCGAGTGGTACACACGGCGCTGCAGTCTTCGGAGTGGTGCTCCTGGTGCTGCGGACCCTGGGGGTGGCGCTGCTACTGGTGCTGAGGACCCGGACGTTGGAGCTGCTGCTGGTGCTGCGGACCCGCCTGGTGGAGCTGCTGCTGGTGCTGAGGACTCGGACGTTGGAGCTGCTGCTGGAGCTGAGGACCCGGGCGGTGGAGTTGCTGCTGGTGCTGAGGACCCGGGCGGTGGAGCTACTGCTGGTGCTGAGGACTCGGACGGTGGAGCTGCTGCTGGAGCTGAGGACCCGAGCGGTGGCGCTGCTGCTGCTGCTGAGGACCCGGGCGTTGGAGCTACTACTGGTGCTGAGGACCCGGCCGGTGGAGCTGCTGCTGGTGCTGTGGACCCGGACGCTGGAGCTCCTACTGGTCCTGAGGACCCGGCCGCTGGAGTCTCCTCTGCTTCTGGAGACGCTGCGCGGCCGCGACCGTACTTCGTACCGCTCCTTCAGCAGGTTCTTGGGCAGGCTCCTCCTCCTTGTCCTCCTCCCTCCGTAGAGTGTCCTCCGCCTGTCCAGCCGCAGTCACAGTTACCGCCTACCTCGCCTCTCCCTGCTCCCTCTCCTTACACTGGTCCCACAGGAGGTCTTACAGAGCGTCGTGAGCCTGAGTCTCGTCCTGCGTCGCCTGTTCGTCCTGCTCGCACTGCTAGTCGTGTCCGTCGTGAGCGTCCTCCTCCTGTCCCAGGCACTCACTACATGACTCTGCGTCCCTCTACTGCTCCTCAGCGTGTCCCTCTACCGTCACCTCCTGCGTCCTCTTTGCCTGACGTTCCGGACCCTGAGTCTGACAGGTATCGTGCTGAGCACCCTACTGTCACGCGTCTCCTCGCTACTGTTGTCACTGACCCTACCTTTGAGTCCTCTGCTGCGTCTGCTCTGGTCGCTGAGTTGGTTGACTTTGCTGCTGCCTGTCGTCTAGACTACGCTGCTAGCCTTGTTGCTGAGTCTGCGTCTGAGTCTGTCTGTCCTCCGTCCGTCGGGGGTGAGTGTGCTCTTGGCACGGACGTCCTTGAGGACAGACAGGAGGAGTTCCAGTGTCTTGCTGCTGCTTTGCCCCGTCTCGTGTCCTTGCTAGTTGCCCCTGAGGGAGACCCGGATGCACCAGACATCCCGACCCCGCGCTCTTACGCAGAGGCGATGGCAGGTCCCTACTCCTCTCAGTGGCAGACAGCTATGGACGCAGAGATGGCTTCCTGGAAGTCCACACGCACCTACGTCGACGAGGTTCCCCCTCCTGGGGCGAACATCGTCAGTGGCATGTGGATTTTCAGGGTGAAGCGGCCGCCGGGTTCTCCGCCTGTCTTCAAGGCGCGTTACGTGGCTCGAGGCTTCAGTCAGCGAGAGGGAGTTGACTTCTTCCAGACCTTCTCCCCCACCCCGAAGATGACTACTCTTCGGGTGCTGCTGCACATAGCCGCTCAGCGCGACTACGAGCTTCACTCACTTGACTTCAGCACTGCTTTCTTGCAGGGCAGCCTGCACGAGGAGATCTGGCTGCACCGCCCACCTGGCTTCACTGGGTCGTTTCCTCCTGGTACCCAGTGGAGGCTTCAGCGGCCGGTCTACGGTCTCCGCCAGGCTCCGCGTGAGTGGCACGACACACTGAGGACTACACTTGCGGCTCTTGGGTTCGCGCCTTCTACAGCTGACCCGTCGCTGTTCCTGCGCACCGACACTTCGCTGCCGCCGTTCTACATCCTCGTGTACGTTGACGACTTGGTCTTTGCCACTGCTGACACTGCAGGACTCGCCTACGTGAAGTCGGAGCTGCAGAGGAGACACACGTGCACAGACCTGGGTGAGCTGACAAGCTATCTTGGCTTGCGGATCACCCGGGACAGAGCACGGCGCACCATCACCTTGACTCAGTCACACATGGTGCAGCAGGTTCTCCAGCGCTTTGGCTTCACGTACTCCTCGCCTCAGTCCACTCCTCTGCCTACCGGTCACTCGCTCTCAGCTCTGCCTTCGGATGAGTCCGTAGAGCCGAGTGGCCCGTATCCAGAGCTTGTGGGCTGCCTCATGTACCTGATGACCTGCACTCGACCTGACCTTGCATACCCTCTTAGCATCCTTGCACGCTATGTCGCTCCTGGCCGTCACAGGAAGGAGCACATGGATGCCGCTAAGAGGGTGTTGCGCTACTTGTGCAGTACGTCGGGCATGGGGCTTGTGCTTGGAGGGCGAGACCGAGTTGTGCTCACAGGGCACTCAGACGCTTCTTGGGCAGACGACCAGGCCACTCAGCGGTCGTCTCAGGGTTACACCTTCAGCCTTGGCTCTGGCTCAGTTTCTTGGCGCTCTACACGCTCTTCTTCTGTTCTCGGCTCCAGTTGCGAGGCTGAGATCTACGCTACAGCCATGGCTGCCCAGGAGCTACGCTGGCTGACCTACCTGCTGACTGACCTCGGAGAGCCGCCTCGTTCTCCTCCAGTACTGTACGTCGACAACAAGGCTGCCATTGCCTTGTGTGAGGAGCACAGACTGGAGCACAGAACGAAGCACATCGCCCTGCGGTACTTCCTTGCTCGAGAGCTGCAGCAGCGTGGTCAGCTTTGTATTCGCTACGTGGCCACTGAGGCCAACACTGCTGATGTGTTCACCAAGGCGCTTCAGCCTCGTGACCATCAGCGCTTCTGCACTCTACTAGGCCTTGTGCCTACTGGACCTCACTTGCTTACCTCTTGACTTTGCTCGTACTGTGATCACTATATATATCTATACCTGCATGTTTACTCTTGCTAGGTTGTGATCACTGTATCTCTGGCTCTGTTATAAACCTGCATGTGAACTGGTCTTGTGACCACTAGCTTGTGCTCGGAATTTGTGTGGAATCCTCGAGATCCACCCTGAGCTTGTTGTTGCCTTGCTTTGCCTTGACTGGTCTTGTGACCCCTAGGTCTCCCCCACTTTGCCTATGGGGGTGTGTCAAACATTATATATGTTGGGTTTGTTAGGCTACAGTGGGTTAGCCTATATGGGGTACACAATTCTAGGGTTTGCTATTTGTACTGATTTCTCTGTTAGTTCAATCATTCCAGTCCGTTCATTCTGACAATCTGAACTCCACCCTCGCAACTGCAGCTCGTGTCTGTTCGGTAGTCAGTATAGCCTGTACCATCGCTTTGATCAGCCTGTGGATGTCAAAGGGCTGCAAGGCAGTGATTAAATGATTAACAGGAAAAACCTCCTCACAGTCGTCGCTCTCAATGTCAACGGCTTAGGAGACGGCGTCAAGCAAGACAGAGTCACAGAGTGGTTAAAAGAAGCAGCAGACATAGTGGTTGTAACAGACACTAGATTAGTAGACACCCACCCATACTGGTCTTCACAGCGGTTCTAGACAGTCGCAGCAGCCACACCCAAAGAAAAAGCAGGCGGAGTAGCTATTCTCTGTAGAAACCCAGCATTAACCTTTTCTAACACATCACCTCACGCTTCTGGCCGTATCATCCGCACTAATGTCCACGATCATGGCATTCAATTCACCTTACTCGCGGCTTACCTTCCAGCCGACCTAGCTCATAGAACTCCCTTCGTCCTCCACACCCTTGGACCGGTTGTCGATCAGGTAGCGCCGAGCTCTCACCTCCTGATTATCGGTGATCTAAACATGGTGGAAGTTCCAGATCTTGATCGCACGTCAGGTCACGGTACATCAGCTGAAAACGACAGACTATTTAACTGATGTCAGGCCTTTCAGCTCTCTGATGCCTTCCGCACGCTCTACCCACGCTGCAGAGAATACACCTTCTACTCACCGTCACAGAACACTAGCTCCCACATTGATAGAGCCCTGATCTCCCTCCCTCTCTTACCTTTCCTCGCTGACTCCACGCACATCACACCCGCAGACAAAATCTCAGACCACGGTTTCGCGGTATAGGTTACCCTGAAGGTAGACACCAAGGCACGTCTGGGTCCAGTATTTGGAGGATGCAGGCTGCTATGGTGAACAGACCCGGCGTGAGACGGATTATCGAAGAGGTATTATCCAAAATGCAGGTAACCAACAGGAAGAGTTATGAACTGTTGCTGGCAAGGCTCAATGTGCGGCTTCGCGCGTACACAAGGGAGGAGAGTAAACGCGTACGAGCGACCTTCACTCACCTGATGTTGGCGGTGGCAGCCCTTCGGCAGGCAGTGATGACAGACCCGAGTTGCAGCCGCCTGCGTGAGCTTCTGGAAGAAAAGGAAGGTACTTGGCTAACAAGCGAGACCGGCAGCACCTGATGGCGGGCCTGGATATGGAACTCACTTGGAACTTCACTTAGAAAAGACTATACATCAAATTAACACACACCACTTGCACCATCTGCTTGTTACAGCCCGCAGCAACAACACAACAAGATTTCTACCCACCATGCTTGCTGCACATTTGTGACTCTCACAGTCCTCCGGTGACCTCACCCTCACCACAGTCACCTCCCTCGTGTCATCATTACCCCACTCTCTCTCTCTCTCTCTCTCTCTCTCTCTCTCTCTCTCTCTCTCTCTATCTCTCTCTCTCTCTCTCTCTCTCTCTCTCTCCTCTCTCTCTCTCTCTCTCTATCTATCTCTCTCTCTCTCCTCTCTCCCTCACTCTCTCTCTCTCTCTCTCTCTCTCTCTCTCTCTCTCTCTCTCTCTTTCTCTCTCTCTCTCGCCTCTCTCTCTCTCTCTCTCTCTCTCTCTCTCTCTCTCTCTCTCTCTCTCTCTCTCTCTCTCTCTCTCTCTCTCTCCCTCTCTCTACCTCTCCCCCTCTCTAGTTAGCTAGCTATTAAGATACTAGCAGTCTGATCGGGCTAGCCCCAAAGTGGAGGCCGAATCGGCCAAGTCCAGCAGTGCAAGGTTTAATAAAAAGTGACGCGAAGTGGCAAACACTGTTAAGCTGTAACGGGCAAAAAACGTAGGGGATGATGAACTTTCTGCATCCTCCATTCCAAATATAGGAGCATCACACACCTCTACTGTATGCATTCTATTCGCAGCGCAGACTCATAATCCTCGTGCCTTGAGTCATTATGATCCACTCCACTTTACGGTTCCAGAGATCGCCTCAAGTCCAACTTGCAACTCCAAGCTTGATGCGGCTCCATCCATCCATGGCCCGGATGATGTCACTCGCTCGCTCAGCGTCGCTCGACGTTGCGTCGTCGCTGGTGAGCCCACCGCTTGTACGCGCCCTGTCATATGTCGCCTCGTCGCCCTGTCATGTCGCCTCGTCGCCCTGTCATATCGCCTCGTCGCCCTGTCTTGTCACCTCGTCGCCTTGACAAGTTGTCAGGTTGCCGACCTTTCATGTCGCTCTTCGCCTCACCCCATGAGTCGTTCCCCGGAGGCATCGCAGCGCGTCGGCGGGAGTGCTTCAGCTTTTATAGCCCCATACGGGGGACTGCACATATCGCATCTCTCAACTCCCGTCACAATGGCCGTTGTGACACTCTTTGCTTTGACAGTCGCTATGCAACCTTGCTCATGCCGAGTCTGCTTGGCTACTCTGCTAATAGGAGGCAGATTCTGATTACATCTATAAACGGTTCGTGTCGGTCTGCTCTTCGCTCTGCGATGTTTCTTTGACACCGGTTTCCCTTTCGTGCGGTGCTGCTCTCTCTCGCCTGCAGCGCCATCGCCGCTGATCGCCATCTGATCCTTACCGAGAATCACTGTAAGCATGCTTCCAACATGCCCCACTCTTCTTTAAACGCACTATCTCGCTGCACGCACCGCTCTCTCTCACTGCACGCGCCGCTCTCTCTCTCTCTCTCTCTCTCTCTCTCTCTCTCTCTCTCTCTCTCTCTCTCTCTCTCTCTCTCTCTCTCTCTCTCTCTCTCTCTCTCACTCTCTCTCTCTCTCTCTCTCTCTCTCTCTCTCTCTCTCTCTCTCTCTCTCTCTCTCTCTCTCTCTCTGCACGCGCTTTTCTCGCCGCACGCGCCTCTCTCTCTCTACATGCACCACTCTCTTGGTGCACGCGCTCTCAGCGTTTTTTCGTTTGGTATGCAATATCATGACGTTTGTGCAATATCATGACGTTCGTGCAATATCATTACATTCGTGCAATATCATCTCGTTCGTGCAATGTCTTCACGTTTGTGCAACCTCGTGCTCCTCATCTTGCTTTGATTCCGTTCTCTGCTCCTCATTTCCATCTACTGCTGCCCCTTTGTTTCGTTCCCTCCCTTCTCCATCATGTTAACACGCAGACTCGGCATCTGCTATGGGTACATTCTCATCTGGACATTTGTGTCTCAATCACCTTGTGACGCGCAAAAAACAACATAAACTGTAGTGTGTCACAATCTTGCGTCGTCCTACTGCGACTTTCAGTGTATTTTTCATTGGTTAGTGTTAAACACGCTAAAATCGCGGACGAGTTGCACGATGCCCATTTTCAAAATTCCGCACGCGGTTTGAAATGTCAATTCACTTGGACACCCCACAGCGCCAATTTCGCGCGGGAAAAAAATCCGCGCGTCGAAACCACACCCTTGCTAGGCGGTTGAAGAAACGGGTGTACAGTCATTTGCTAATCCCAATCAAATGGGCCCAAGTAAATAAAACATTGTCGCCAAGTGTCACGATACATCCAAACTTTGAGACGCGGGGTTGACAAAATGTGCAGACGTGACTCGGGAAATCAGGGGTTGAGACACAAATGTCCAGATGAGAATGTACCCTAAGGGACACGCCTTACTTCTGTCTGAAGGCAACGAGCGCCATGGCCGCAAACGTGTAAGCATCACCTCACATTGAATTCTCACCTAATATTAGCGTTCAATATTTGTCTTTTTTCGAGAAGCAACCTTCTTACGCACAAGCTCGTAGTTCTCATCAGATTGTCACGCAGAAAGGCGCAAGATTACTACTTAGTAGCATTTCAGAGTTTCCAAGAGATATTTCCGAAAGCATTCCCTCTCGTGCTCTCATCCTCCTATCTCCTCCAACCCCCTCTCCTCCCCTCGGCACAACCCAACCCATCTCCACGGCCTTTCCCCTTGCAGCACATCCACTGTCCAATCTACCAAAATTCTTCGTGCGCGTTACCTTAGACATGAAATCGAGCCCAACATTCACCAATCCGAGATACACCGTCAACGGCAAACTGGTGGCCGAGATGCCGTGCACATTCATTGGGGTAACCACAAAGGGTTATTGGGAGTGCCTCATTGAAGAGAAGGTTTCTCTCACTTCCGCTTTCCATGTGGTTGGCACCTTGCACGCGTTGATCAACTCCAGGTTGTTCGATGGATTGATCCACGTCCTTTCGCTTACCGTTAACATCTGCAACTTGAAGGGTAACGTCACAACAAGTTCTTTGTCACTGTGAGTATGAGATAGCAGTAAAAAGGGTAGCTCTTTATTGGGAGATTTACAGTATTTTTATATCTTCTCATGTTCACGGCCAGTGTTTCCTGCCTAACACAAGTGCTCCGCCCAAGGAGGCCCACATTCCATATTTAAATTTCAGAAAAGACAAATTATATCAAAATAACACACACTACCAGCACCATCTGCTCGTTACAGCCAGCAACAACAAAATCACAATGATTTTTTAATGCATGCCTGCAAGAATTCCACCCACAATGATTTTTTTTCCAACATGGAAGACGTTGTAGCGTGTCTCCCATAATGTTCATCCCACCCTCGGATCACCTCACCTCATTTCCTCGCCACAGAATCCCCCCTTAGGTACCTTCCTCGCCTCAGTGATACCCCACCCCTCTCTCTCCTCCTCTCTCTCACTGCTTGTCTCTCCTCTCCCTCTCTCCTCCATCTCCCTCTCTACCTCTCTCTCCCTCTCCTTATCCCCTCTCCCTCATCCTTTGCTGAAATGCCATAGCCCACTTCATCAACCGAAGCACCTACACGTGGAGGGAGGGTGGGGAAGGGGGAAGGATGAGGACAAAATAGGTTTTCGGGTAGTGGAGAAGCCAGAAAAAGGTGATGTTAGGATACCGAAATGGGTTAATGTATGGGAAACACCACAAACATTGGAAAAAAAGATACGCTTCAAGTCGTCCCATCTCATCCGTTGTCAGCATACAGGTTTGCATATACCCCTTCGTACATTCTCAGTCTAGTCACACTTTTCAGTTCTTTTCACTCTCATCCGTCATTGCCTCCAGCCTGATCTTGGTCCTCTCGCTACATCGCTAGGTCTAACCCGAGTCACGTGCGGTGAAATGGCATGCGGTGCGGAGCATCGAGGATTCAGGCGGAAATGGGAGGGGAAGCAGCACCGGCCAATACCCTTTATTATCGTACCAGCAAGGTCAACAATACCCTCCCTGCATAGGCCCCTTACCTGAGACCTTGAAGGATGGGGTCAGTGCACCTAAGACTGGCACGACATTCGCGGCACGTGAGTGTCGATTGCATCTGACGCAACCCGCAATTGCCAGCGAGTTTCATGGCCAATTTTTTCCTGGTGCGCCTCGCTCCTCCTTCATGCTTGGTAACCCTACTTGCAACACTCTGCGGCTGCCAGCCAAAACTAGTCGTGTTTAGTGGTACCGAGCTGAGGTATAGAAAAGCCTACCCTTTCCTCCCCTTGATCATTGCATTTTGCTTCACTCCAAGCATCCTACGTTTCTCCTGATTCGTATCTCCACCCTTCGGATAAAGTCCAGTACTGCTATTACTAGTGCAGTCATGGCCCACACATCGCTGCGACCCGCGATTGTCCTCTCTGGTGAGCACATGATCCCAAAAAATTCATCCTGTATGATCGTCCTCTCTGGCGAGTATACTGTGTCAGAGGTCCACTGGTGATCCCCGATGATCCTAGGGAAGGGTTACAGGCACGTTGGCCTGGGGGGTTATGGGCGCACTCACCCGCTATGTAAACAAGCCCTTTTATCCCAGTGGTTAGTGGCTGGGATTCTGACATGGTATCAGAGCGAAGGTCTCGGGTTCGAATCCCGGTGTGTGCACTTCGGGCATCCCAGTGCGGGGGGGTGTCAGAGGTCCACTGGTGATCCCCGATGATCCTAGGGAAGGGTTACAGGCACGTTGGCCTGGGGGGTTATGGGCGCACTCACCCGCTATGTAAACAAGCCCTTTTATCCCAGTGGTTAGTGGCTGGGATTCTGGCATACTGAATCTGCTTTTTTTAATAATTCTAAAAAAAAAAAAATGATTTAAGAATTTCAGACAGTTTCATCTTCCGACGAAAGGAATCCTTTCTGGTGATACAGTGCCGCTGACGACTGTTCGTCAACGCTACCGATAAGGGCATGTGATTCTTGCCCGCATGTTGCTAATCATTCTTGTTGATGTGCCTTGCTCTTGCTGCTATGCAATCTGTTCACCCTCGCACCTCGCGCCTAATGTGAGAGCACGACAATTTCCTCGTCGCATGTTGCTGGTCACTTTGCCAGCCGCTAAACATGTTCCTTCACGTTCTATCTGTCGCCCGTTCCGCGATTGTGAATATGTTTTTCTCAGTCCATTATTCTTCTTTGCAGTGCTGCTCTCCCTCGCCTGCAACGCCATCGCCGTCAATCACCGTGTGCTCCTCACCGAGATAACATGTACAACGACTCTGGCATCACCTCATGCACGCGCTCTCTCCTTTGCACGTGCTCTCTCCTCTGCACACGCTCTCTCCTTTACACGCGCTCTCTCCTCTGCACACGCTCTCTCCTTTGCACACACTCTCTCCTTTGCACTCTCTCCTGTACGACGACTCCAGCATCGCCTGATGCTTCCTACTACCTGCTGCACTTTCTCGCTCACGCGCTCTCTCACGACGCGCGGCTCGAGTGGGGCACGCGCAACTCAAGTGCGACACGCGCCGCTCTCTCCCTGCACGCGCCGCTCTCCCGCTGCTGCACGCGCTGCTCTCTCGCCGCTGCACGCGCCGCTGTCTCGCCGCTGCACGCGCCATTGTCTCGCTGCTTCACGCGCCGCTCTCTCGCTGCACGCGCCGCTCTTTACGTTTTTTGTTCGTTATGCAAGTATTATCATCACCTTCTCGCGGCCTCGTGACCGAGCATGACCTCGTGACCGAGCATGCTCCTCATCCTTTCCGTCCACTGCCCCCTAAATTTTCCTCTACCCTTCTCCGTCTTGGTGGAGCACTGACAAAAGAATTGCTGCTGTGAAACCTTCCATCAGCACAAACTCTCCGGTAGGAGGAACGTTCAACTACAATGGCACCGTGTAAGCATCACCTTATGTCCGATACTCGCCTGTCTCCCCGCTAGCAACTTACATCTTTCTTCAGATCGTCTTTAGACCCTAAACATTATTATACTGTGAATGAACCTGGAGGCTGGTTTAGGATTAGTTGTAGGTTACTTTTGGGACCCCTTTTTTTTTTTCTAAATGCCCTCTCCCCCCTCAACCCCACCCAACCCCCCTCCACCCCCTGGGTCACCCCTTGCAGCACATCCACGACCCAGTCTACAGTATTCTGGCTGAACATCGCTACTATCAGGTTACCCGCCAGCGTGGTGACATCGACCCCCACATACACCAATCGGATATTCACCTCGTTGGGCAATACCTTGGCGGAGGTCCCGTACACATTCACCTTGGCACCATCACATAAATATTAGGAATGCCTCATTGTAGAAAAGGTTTCACTCACTACGGATTTTGAGCCGTCGGCACCTTGAAAACGTTCGTAGGGATGTTTAACCAGTCTCCTCCTACATCATCAAGTTCACATTCAACAACTGCAAAATGGAAGGTGACGTTCGATAGTCTCAGACCCAGGTCTGAGTGTTGTGTCTCATTCCGAGCTGCTGCCTACTGTCAGAGGTCCACTGGAGATCCCCGATTGATCCTAAGGAAGGGTTACAGGCACGTTGGCCTGGGGGGTTATGGGCGCACTCACCCGCTACACAAACAAGCCCTTTTGTCCCAATGGCTAGCGGCTGGGATTCTGACATACTATCAGAGCAACGATCTCGTGTTCAAATCCCGGTGTGTGCACCTCGGGCATCCCAGTGCGGGGGGGGTGTCAGAGGCCCACTGGAGATCCTCGAGTGATCTCAAGGAAGGGCTATAGGCACGTTGGCCTGGGGGGTTATGGGCGCACTCACCCGCTACACAAACAAGCCATTTTATCCCAGTGGTTAGTGGCTGGGATTCTGGCATCTACAGTGGTTAACTCCTATTGAGAACTCTAATTCTCATGTTTACGGCCTTTGCTAACTTTCTAAAGCATGTTTTCCGCCGAAGAAGGACTACATTCCATATTTACTTCATAGATCAAATCAAAACACAGAACCGGTACCACCTGCTCATTACTGCAACAATACCACCAAGTTTGAATGCCCGTATGAATTCCACAAACCACAACTCAGTACTAAGCAAGCCGCTATACATTCTTGCCCAACCATTTGTGGAAGTCATTCTTTCCACGCTCCTCCCACCCCTAAATCACTTCACTTCTTCCCCTTTCCACAATCACCTCCCTAGCCTCAACACCATCCCACCTCTCCCCCCCCCTTCTCTCTCTCTCTCTCTCTCTCTCTCTCTCTCTCTCTCTCTCTCTCTCTCTCTCTCTCTCTCTCTCTCCAAGTACAAGCATGCATTGACAAATGAACAGCATACTACGTAATAGAATAGTATCACTCCAGCCCCCTAAGGTACCTCCAGGGCAGGCTCCAGCAATCAGTATCTCTCTCACAGTATCTCAATCCGAGCCAAAACACCCCACGAACCGTGGCCGATCCACATACGGTACAATTCCTGCTTTGAGTGTGCCGCCTCTTTTGCTGCCCATCCTAGCGGCTTCCTGGCATGGATGTCGCCATGGGGGAGGACTGGGTTGTTCACTATTACATTAGTCATTCGGGTTTCGCCGGACTCTAGATCATGGATGGCCAAGCCTGCTCGCTTCTAGTGACTGGTTGCGAGTGTTGGAAACATGTAGTTTACGCTTCTGAAGTATCGAAACACTGAAGCCGTAAAGGGAAGCGAACAACAACATAGTAACAAAGTGAGTCAACCTCGACAGGTTGACACGAGACAACAGTAAGAGGTTACGCGAAGGTCAAAGGTCAGCGACCTTTGACTCGCCGAAGGCAGCGCGACAGCAAGGACACACAACTGACTCGCTATTGAGCAGTTGCCCGAGTCGTCGCTGTATCGAACCACAACAACAGCAGTTACAATTACAGTTACAATAGCAGTTAGTTAAACCTTTCATATTCCTTTGTAATCATATAAAAAGCTTGTATCTCTTTGCTATAATCAACTTATCTTGTCCTCACATTGTCAGAGGTCCACTGGAGATCCCCGATTGATCCTAGGGAAGGGTTACAGGCACGTCGGCCTGGGGGGTTATGGGCGCACTCACCCGCTACACAAACAAGCCCTTTTATCCCAGTGGTTAGTGGCTGGGATTCTGACATGGTATCAGAGCGAAGGTCTCGGGTTCGAATCCCGGTGTGTGCACCTCGGGCATCCCAGTGCGGGGGGGGTGTCAGAGGTCCACTGGAGATCCCCGATTGATCCTAGGGAAGGGTTACAGGCACGTCGGCCTGGGGGGTTATGGGCGCACTCACGCGCTACACAAACAAGCCCCTTTATCCCAGTGGTTAGTGGCTGGGATTCTGACACACATACTAGCACAAGGTGGTTCAACAAGTTCTCTAAGAATGCTTCCGCAATTACATTATAATCCAGAGTCTTAACCTTGAACGATTCCAAGGGCCTTTTTCAGCCCAACAGCGAGAAGATGGTCGTTGCTTGATATGTAATGTACCCGGCCCCCCTCGCCATGCGCAAAGCCGAATGCACCAGGGCGTTGTGGGTGATCGCGCGGTCCCCCCTATAAGCACACGAAAGGATCTGCTTGGGCATGCTCCCATCTGGGACGGCCGAGCGCCTGCCTTGGCACAACCATTGGTCCAGTACCGCCAGGGTGAGGATGGGCAACACAAGAGGCGACACAGTCAAAGCATGCTCCACTATGAAGCCGGACCGATAGTTCCTCCAAAGGTTCACGAATTCCGATTGTGTGGGATATCCTTTCACTCGGCAAAGAACCTAGGGCTTTGTCTTCAACCTCCTTGGGGGAGCGATGGCTTGGCGAAGCGAGAGGGAAAAACTTGATTGCCTTTAGCTCATCCGAGGTCGAGTATGTTGCTGTCAAACAGTTGACGTACCGAAGTCGAATGATTGAGGCGGCTCCTAGCCGAGCTAGGATATGGGAAAGAGAGAACCACGCCGATCTACTTAAACAATGAAGCAGCGATCAATCTTACTAAGAACTCTATTTTCCATGGAATAACCGAGCACATCCAAATCCGTCATCATTTCACCCATCGCGTCAAGGCTAATCGCATTCACATTGGCAGCACAAGTAGAGCTTCGAGCCAGATCGCACCCACGAACTGTAGAAGAATTTAGCAGTCAAAACCCTGAACACAAATATTTCATGTGCTTGTTGGTAAAGAACAATTCAAGATGTAGAAACCAAAATTTTCGCTACAAGATCTGCGTTCTGTTTTATCAAACATACATACAGTCATCCCCGTCTGTCATTCATACATACATTGAGATCATCACCATTCCGAACTTCTTTTCTCGAAGCCAGCAGCAGCAGCTTTTATTCAAAGGCGAGACTTTTACTGCTCGTCTCATCGTCTCTTTCGCCTGAATCTGCCTCTGCTTCTCTACCCTCATCGCACGGTCGCGACGCTCTCAAATTCCTGTTTGTGCTTACTGCATTTCTATGAAAAGAGGCTAAAATTAGGAGAGATGGACTCGACTAAGCCTAAGAGGGAGTCTTGGGCTGACTCAGCGGAAGAGGAAGAAGCGGAGTTAAAGGAAGCGGAGCTTAAGGCAGCTGCAGCGGCGGCGGCGGCGGAGGTGGCGGCGAAGGCCGCGAAAGACGAGGACGATGCGGAGGACGCGCCGCCGGGCCTGACGCCGCGATCTGCGGCGAAGAACGCGGAATTTGGCGAAAGCGCGGATAAGGCGGCGGCGGATTTGGATTCGCTGAAAGTCAGCGAAGGCGTGGTGGATCAACCCGACCTGAGCATCAAAACGGGCGAGCTTAATGACGTCCCTGATGGGTCGGAGCATGAAATTAAGAAGGCAAGTTCGTCTATTCTCTCACGGAAATCGTTAAGTTCTAAGCAAGGTAAGGCGTGGTGGGTCAGCCCAACCCGACCTGAGCATCAGAACCAGCGAGCGGAACGACTTGCTTGATGGGTCGGATCACGAGATTAAGAAGGTACGTGGGCAGTAGAATGTGAAACTACGTGCGGGATTGTTGCTTCGGACGCTCCAGTATGTAGGAAAGTGGTTCAGCCCGACCCGAGTATCAAGACTGGAAAGCACGAGATTAAGAAGGTGGGTGAGCAGGATATTGAAAGGGTTTAAGGAGGCGATTAGAAGGGTTTACGCATGAGAATAAGAAGGTGGTTGGGCTCGAGATTGAAAAGGTGGGTGCGCACGAGAGCAGAAGGTGCGCACGAGAGCAGAAGGTGAGCACGAGAGCAGAAGGTGAGCACGAGAGCACAAGGTGAGCACGAGAGCAGAAGGTGAGCACGAGAGCAGAAGGTGAGCACGAGAGCAGAAGGTGAGCACGAGAGCAGAAGGTGAGCACGAGAGCAGAAGGTGAGCACGAGAGCAGAAGGTGAGCACGAGAGCAGAAGGTGAGCACGAGAGCAGAAGGTGAGCACGAGAGCAGAAGGTGAGCACGAGAGCAGAAGGTGAGCACGAGAGCACAAGGTGAGCACGAGAGCACAAGGTGAGCACGAGAGCAGAAGGTGAGCACGAGAGCAGAAGGTGAGCACGAGAGCAGAAGGTGAGCACGAGAGCAGAAGGTGAGCACGAGAGCAGAAGGTGAGCACGAGAGCAGAAGGTGAGCACGAGAGCACAAGGTGAGCACGAGAGCAGAAGGTGAGCACGAGAGCAGAAGGTGAGCACGAGAGCAGAAGGTGAGCACGAGAGCACAAGGTGAGCACGAGAGCAGAAGGTGAGCACGAGAGCAGAAGGTGAGCACGAGAGCACAAGGTGAGCACGAGAGCAGAAGGTGAGCACGAGAGCAGAAGGTGAGCACGAGAGCAGAAGGTGAGCACGAGAGCAGAAGGTGAGCACGAGAGCACAAGGTGAGCACGAGAGCAGAAGGTGAGCACGAGAGCAGAAGGTGAGCACGAGAGCAGAAGGTGAGCACGAGAGCAGAAGGTGAGCACGAGAGCAGAAGGTGAGCACGAGAGCAGAAGGTGAGCACGAGAGCAGAAGGTGAGCACGAGAGCAGAAGGTGAGCACGAGAGCACAAGGTGAGCACGAGAGCAGAAGGTGAGCACGAGAGCAGAAGGTGAGCACGAGAGCAGAAGGTGAGCACGAGAGCACAAGGTGAGCACGAGAGCACAAAGTGAGCACGAGAGCACAAGGTGAGCACGAGAGCAGAAGGTGAGCACGAGAGCAGAAGGTGAGCACGAGAGCAGAAGGTGAGCACGAGAGCAGAAGGTGAGCACGAGAGCAGAAGGTGAGCACGAGAGCACAAGGTGAGCACGAGAGCACAAGGTGAGCACGAGAGCACAAGGTGAGCACGAGAGCAGAAGGTGAGCACGAGAGCAGAAGGTGAGCACGAGAGCACAAGGTGAGCACGAGAGCAGAAGGTGAGCACGAGAGCAGAAGGTGAGCACGAGAGCAGAAGGTGAGCACGAGAGCAGAAGGTGAGCACGAGAGCAGAAGGTGAGCACGAGAGCAGAAGGTGAGCACGAGAGCAGAAGGTGAGCACGAGAGCAGAAGGTGAGCACGAGAGCAGAAGGTGAGCACGAGAGCAGAAGGTGAGCACGAGAGCAGAAGGTGAGCACGAGAGCAGAAGGTGAGCACGAGAGCAGAAGGTGAGCACGAGAGCAGAAGGTGAGCACGAGAGCACAAGGTGAGCACGAGAGCACAAGGTGAGCACGAGAGCAGAAGGTGAGCACGAGAGCAGAAGGTGAGCACGAGAGCAGAAGGTGAGAACGAGAGCACAAGGTGAGCACGAGAGCACAAGGTGAGCACGAGAGCACAAGGTGATTGTGGAGTTGTGCGCATTGCTGTGCACAGAACGCAGCCAGTAGGTGAGGACGCAGGGAGGACGAGGTGGTGCAGTGCAGGTGAGTGAATGTGAACCTCACAGGAAGAAAGAGGTAAATCTATCAGCAGAGCATGGGATGAAGAAGCCAAGCTAGTTTTCGACGTTGCAGGGTCAGGTTTTAGGGTTTCGGTTGTAGGGTTCCGGGTTCTAAGAATTCTAAAAAAACCCTGCAATATCAGCAGAGCATGAGATGAAGAATCCAAGCTAGGTTCCGTTCCGTTGCAACCGCATCCTGTGCCCTTTTCATGTTCCGTTTCAATCAACCCCATTGCATGCTCGTACCATCCTTGCAGGTGGTGGCAGCACAGACACCCTACTCGTCCGCCAAGACCTTGGAGGAGCTCAACCTATCAGAGCCGCTGCTAAGGGGCCTCTACTCCAAGATGAAGTTCCAAGTGAACCTGAACCGCTCACACCCTATCACGTTCATCATCAGTGCCCCGTCTTGCACCCCACTCCCTCATGCAGGTGGTGGCAGCAGAGACACCCTACTCGTCCGCCAAGACCTTCGAGGAGCTCAACCTATCAGAGCCGCTGCTGAGAGGGCTCTACTCCGAGATGAAGTTCGAGCGCCCCTCCAAGATCCAGGCCGTCACCCTGCCCATGATACTACAGCCGCCCAACGCCAACCTCATTGCCCAGGTGAGTATCCATTCATTCAGTCAGTCTATTACCCACCCACCAGTGCGATAAGGTTGGCGTCATTTTCATTCATTCCACGCCAGTCCTCGCCAGTCCACGCCAGTCCACGCCTGTCACGCGCACAATGGGCTGAGTTTTGAGTCGACTCAAAACTCGACTCGCCTGTCACGCGCACAATGGGCCGGGCAATACCACACCACATGCTTCGTGCTCGGCATGCTGTCTGTCGCAAGGCAACTCATCACCGCAGCCCCAACTTCCCTCCCCCCCCCCTCCCCGTTCCCATTCCCCCGCCTCAAACCCATCAGGCTCACAACGGGTCGGGCAAGACCACGTGCTTCGTGCTGGGCATGCTGTCGCGAGTGGATCCGCAGGTCAAAGCTCCCCAGGCCCTCTGCATCTGTCCCACTCGCGAGCTGGCACAGCAGGTGAGGTGAGGGGGGAGGTGGTGGTGGGAGTGAAGGGAGGGGAGGGGAGGGGATGGGGTGGGTAACGGGGTCCACGTGAGACGGTCGCAGGTCAAAGCTCCCCAGGCCCTCTGCATCTGCCCCACACGTGAGCTGGCACAGCAGGTGAGAGACAGGGGGAGGAGGGAGGTGGGGTGACGGTAGGGCGGAGTGCATGCATGGCAAGGAAAAAAGGCGGAGAGAGGGGGGGGGCGGAGGGAGCGAGCGCAGTGTTTAGGTGAGATGACTGCAGGTGAAGCCCCCCCCCCGGCTTTTGAGTCGAATCAAAAGCAGGTGAAGCCCCCCCCCCTGCCTCCCTGCGTGTGCTCCACAAAGATCTGGCGGAGCAGGTGAGGTGAGAGACAGGAAGGGGATGGAGGAGCATACAGCAGCTTTGCTTGACATGACGGGTCAGGCGGTGCGAATGCAGACCGGGTGGTGCGAATGGTGAACCAATCTAGAACCCACTCACTCTTCTCATCCGTCCCTCGCTTTTCCCACTTACCCATTGGAACGAGGCAGGCAGTGCTGCTGCGCTGCATCGTGCTGCTGTGCTGCTGCTACCCGTTGGACAATTACACGGGCATAACTTGTGCATGCACAGCATCGAAGGGCACGGGCACCATCATATCGTCCTCACAGCAGGAGAGGCTGGGCGACCAGGTGGCGATTGGCACTCCCGGCATGCTTAAACCTCTCATTCACTCCTGGCATGCTTAAACCTCTCATTCACTCCCAGCATGCTTAAACCTTTCATTCACTCCCAGCATGCTTAAACCTCTCATTCACTCCCAGCATGCTTAAACCTCTCATTCACTCCTGGCATGCTTAAACCTCTCATTCACTCCCAGCATGCTTAAACCTCTCATTCACTCCGGGCATGCTTAAACCTCTCATTCACTCCTGGCATGCTTAAACCTCTCATTCACTCCGGGCATGCTTAAACCTCTCATTCACTCCTGGCATGCTTAAACCTCTCATTCACTCCCAGCATGCTTAAACCTCTCATTCACTTCTGGCATGCTTAAACCTCTCATTCACTCCTGGCATGCTTAAACCTCTCATTCACTCCGGGCATGCTTAAACCTCTCATTCTCTCCTGGCATGCTTAAACCTCTCATTCACTCCTGGCATGCTTAAACCTCTCATTCACTCCCAGCATGCTTAAACCTCTCACTCACTCCTTCGCTCCCCCCTCTCTCCTCTTCCCCATCAGAACGAGGCTGTATTGCTGCGTATGGCCAAGTATACGGGCATCACGTGTGCGTGCACGGCATCAGAGGGCACGCGCACCATCGTGACATGGTCGCAGCAAGCCCCTTCCTTTCATCTTACCCCCGCTCCTCTTTCCCTAACCAGAACGAAGCAGTGCTGCTGCGCATGGCCAAGTACACGGGCATCACGTGTGCGTGCACGGCGTCGGAGGGCACAGGCACCATCGTCTCCTCCTCGGCGCAGGAGAGGCTGGGCGACCAGGTGGTCATCGGCACTCCCGGCACACTCAAGCGCTGGATGACCAAGGACCGCATTCTGCCCGTCAAGAGCATCAAGATTCTGGTGTTTGATGAGGCGGACCACATGCTGGACCAGGTGTGTGGTACTAGCAGCGGCATTCCATAACACTGTGACCCTGGATGACCTGACGATGCTCCAAGTACCTGGATGACCAAGGACCGCGTCCTGCCTGTGAAGAGCATCAATATTCTGGTGTTCGATGAGGCCGACCACATGCTTGACCAGGTGTGTACGCTAGCTTATGCTCATAGTGTGGCTGCAGCTTCAGCAGGCGAGGCTGGGCGGCCATTGGGTCATTGGCACTCCCGGCACGCTCAAGTGGTGGTGGATGACCAAGGACCGCGTCCTTCCAGTGAAGAGCATCAAGATACCTTGGTGCAGGACTGCAGCACGCTGTTTGATGAGGCCGACGAAATGCTGGCTGGACCAGGTGAGGTGGATGTGACCGCGACTATGACTGGCTAGCAGTTGCGTACACCATGTACATACTCTCAGCACTCAAGGGCAGGATGGGCAGGATACCAAGGACTGCATCCTGCCCAGCAAGGGCAGGATACTAAGGGCATCAAGGTGCTGGTGCTTGCAATTGCGAGCACTACATGCATATGGGATACAAGCTTTGCTCATACTCTCCTTGCCCCGCGCGTCCTTCACATCTCTTCCCATGTGTGAGCAGGACGGGTTTCAAGACGACTCAATCAGAACGATCCAGTTCATCACCAAGAGCAGCTTATGAGGCGCCTCAAGAAGCGGGTAACCCACCCGTTCCTCTCATCACCTGCTTGCCTCCCCCCGTGTATGTGTGCTGTGCAGGACGGGTTTCAAGACGACTCCATCAGAATGATACAGTTCATCACCAAGAGCAACCCCTCCTGCCAGGTACGGTATGGCAACCGCACCTGCCAGGTAAGCAGCCGCACATGCCAGGAAAGCAGCCGCACATGCCAGGAAAGCAGCCGCACATGCCAGGTAAGCAGCCGCACATGCCAGGTAAGCAGCCGCACATGCCAGGTAAGCAGCCGCACATGCCAGGTAAGCAGCCGCACATGCCAGGTAAGCAGTCCCACATGCCAGGTAAGCAACCCCGACTGCCACAGGTAAAGCAAAATGTCAGGTATCTTAATCGCCATATTCAACAGTATCGTGTCGTCGTGTGCCAACCCTAATTCTCTCCTCACAGCTTCTTCTGCTCCCAGCCAGTCCCACCTGAAGAGCAAGGTGGTTGGTTGGTTAGCTCACGACGTGTTGAGCAGCACAGCATGTGCACGCGTTGAGGTGCCTCAAAACTCGTCTTAAATCGCCAAGTGTTTTGCGGCGCTCATCAAGCAGCACCACTTGCGCGTGCCTGCTCTCCAATTCCCCCATGCTCTGCTCTGCCCTCTCATCCCATCCCATCTCCTCCCCTGCAATCCCCACCTCCAAACTGCAATCCCCACCTCCAAACTGCAATCCCCACCTCCAAACTGCAATCCCCACCTCCAAACTGCAATCCCCACCTCCAAACTGCAATCCCCACCTCCAAACTGCAATCCCCACCTCCAAACTGCAATCCCGACCTCCAAACTGCAATCCCCACCTCCAAACTGCAATCCCCACCTCCAAACTGCAATCCCCACCTCCAAACTGCAATCCCCACCTCCAAACTGCAATCCCCACCTCCAAACTGCAATCCCCACCTCCAAACTGCAATCCCCACCTCCAAACTGCAATCCCCACCTCCAAACTGCAATCCCCACCTCCAAACTGCAATCCCCACCTCCAAACTGCAATCCCCACCTCCAAACTGCAATCCCCACCTCCAAACTGCAATCCCCACCTCCAAACTGCAATCCCCACCTCCAAACTGCAATTCCCACCTCCAAACTGCAATCCCCACCTCCAAACTGCAATCCCCACCTCCAAACTGCAATCCCCACCTCCAAACTGCAATCCCCACCTCCAAACTGCAATCCCCACCTCCAAACTGCAATCCCCACCTCCAAACTGCAATCCCCACCTCCAAACTGCAATCCCCACCTCCAAACTGCAATCCCCACCTCCAAACTGCAATCCCCACCTCCAAACTGCAATCCCCACCTCCAAACTGCAATCCCCACCTCCAAACTGCAATCCCCACCTCCAAACTGCAATCCCCACCTCCAAACTGCAATCCCCACCTCCAAACTGCAATCCCCACCTCCAAACTGCAATCCCCACCTCCAAACTGCAATCCCCACCTCCAAACTGCAATCCCCACCTCCAAACTGCAATCCCCACCTCCAAACTGCAATCCCCACCTCCAAACTGCAATCCCCACCTCCAAACTGCAATCCCCACCTCCAAACTGCAATCCCCACCTCCAAACTGCAATCCCCACCTCCAAACTGCAATCCCCACCTCCAAACTGCAATCCCCACCTCCAAACTGCAATCCCCACCTCCAAACTGCAAGTCCTCTTGCTCGACCATCCACACTTGTCCCACATCCCTCGCCAGATTCTCCTCTCAGCCACGTTCAACGAGCAAGCGCAGAGGTTCGCCCCATCACGTCCAGGGAGAGCAGCTCTCCCTCGACTGGACGTCATCAAGCAGTACCGCGTGCGATTGCCCTTACCCCACCCAGCCCCTCCCTTTTGCTCCCATCCCCTCCCCACTTCTCCCATCCCCTCTCCTCCCCAACCCCTTCCCTTCTCTCCACACTTTGACGTCCAGATTCTTCTCTTCTCGGCCACATTCAACGAGCGAGTCAAAAGGTTTGCCCAGCGAGTGGTCCCCAGTGCCAACCAGGTGTACGTGCCCAAGGAGCAGCTGTCGCTGGACGTGATCAAGCAGTACCGCGTGCGAGTGCCCTCTCGTGACGCCAAGGTCGTGGTGCTCAAAGACAAGATCTTCCCCGCTGCTGAGAAGCTCGGGCAGTCCATCATTTTTGTCAAGACACGCGAAACTGCCCGGGATCTTCACAGGTCCGTTCCTTTCTTGCCTTTCTTTGGGGGGCAGGGGAGGAGAAAGGGCAGGGCAGGGAAGGGGGGTGAGCAGTGATTTCGAGGGTTGGGGCGAGATGGAAAGCACAGGTAACAGGAGGGCGCTAATGGATCATGGAGAGGGACAAGAAACGCTGCTGTAGTGTGTGAAGAAGGGGCATCCCGCGCTTCTTGTCCTTCTTCTTCCAGGCAAGAATCGCCTCTTGATGAGTGAAGGTGAGATGCGGAGGACGTTGAGTGGAGCTGTATTGTATCTGTCTGGACTGGATGGACTGGACGGGATCAAGCAGTGCCGGCACAGCCACTCAGCTGCCAGCAACAAGCAGAGGTCGGATGCGGCTCGGTGACTCATGAGTCTTTTGAGTTGACTCAGAAGGCACGATGTTGCATGAGGAGAGCAGAGCAACGATGTGACCTGGGAGTTCCACAGAAGGAGCCTTTATTCCAATTCCTTCCCTCCCTCCTCCCTCGCCTTTCTGTTGAACTTATCCCCCCCCTGTGCCCCTCTTCAGGAAGCTGGAAGCAGACGGGCATCGGTGCACGTCCATTCAGGGCGGCATGTCACACGAGGAGAGAGACGATGTGATTCGCGAGTTTCGCAGCGGCACCACCAAGATCCTCATCGCCACTGACGTGCTGGCTAGAGGGTTCGACCAGGCACAGGTGAGAACGGGGGAGGGGTGGAGTGCCAAGGTACAATCAGGTTCCCCCCCCAATACCCCCCAAGCACAGGTGAGAACGAGGTACAAGTGCCGCTCATAGGCCTGGTTGGGGCTTTCAGAGGCAGCGCCCCCAATACCCCCCCCTTCTCTCCATCCCTTTGTAAAAAGCTTCGTGAGTTTTTGAGACGTCTCAAAAAGCTTTCAGAGGCAGCGCCCCCAATACCCCCCCCTTCTCCCCATCCCTTTTCTCCCACCCCTCCCCTCCCCTTTCTCTCTTTTGCCCTCCCATTCCACGTGGCCTTATCTCCCTGCCTTGCTTCTCTTTGTCCTGGGCAGGTGACACTTGTGGTGAATTTTGATCTGCCCGTGAAGAATGCACCTCCCAACGAGCCAGAGTACGAGACCTATCTCCATCGTATCGGTCGCAGCGGGCGGTTTGGAAGAAAAGGTAAGGACTGCAATAAGTTTTTTTTTCTTACCAAGCCTCAAGTTATGAAGCGCAACTGCCTGCCCAAGAAGTATAAGATTTTTCCTCCACCAGCAAGCCATCCCAGTTTGGACACGTGTCACTCTGCACAAGTCCCATAAAAGTCTTGTCAAAATTCCACTTTCCACGGATCACGTCCTTCTTCCCTCTTGGCGCCCTCCCGTTCCCTGCTTCAGGTGCGGCGTTCAACCTGGTGTGTGGGGAGAAGGACGAGCGCACACTTAACAAGATTGAGAAACACTTTGACCGCGTGATTCCTGATGTGAGTGGACATGGCCGTGAGTGAATGAGGGTGTGAGTGTGACTAGGGATGTGAGAGAGAATGGGGATGTGAGACTGAATGATGAAATGATGCATGCATACTATACAAAAGCTAGGTGTATTGTGAAAGACACTCACTCACTGTACCTATCCCTTTCTCTTCCCACAATGCAGGTGCAATGGGACGACGACGATGCCTTTGAGAAGGTGCTCAAGGAGGCAGGCCTCGCTTGAAGCACCCACTGTACCATTGGGATCATACAAGAAATTAGTCATGTGCCATAGGCCACATACAACATGTGTCATCATGCACCATGCTCGTCTTTAGGCCATCCACTCCTTGTGCCCTTCTGTCATCGATTGCTGGACGTTTCACACAACCTTGTGTTTGGTATTTTATGATAACTAGGTATTTCAATTGTAGGCGATTTGGGTGTTCTCTGTGTCACCACATATGAAAGTTCTTCAGTTACCAGTATGGAATTGACGTAGTGCGATTGCAAGCATTCGAGGTATGGTACAGTCTCTCTGCAAATACACTCGGTTCTCATTATGACGCACAGACTGCACTGCAGGTTTCGAGCAGGTCCTGCTTTGATGGTCGAAGCTCCCAGCGAATGTATCGTTTTGCTAGCATGGCTTTGTGAATCCTTATCATTGCTAGTATGGAGATCACCTGCGTATGGAGCGTTAGAATGTCAGAGGTTGCCCTAGCATTTCCTTGTTCTCTTGCTGCTTGATCTGTCATGCGTCACAACTCATTAGTTCGCTCAGACGATCCTGAGCTCCGATGACCGGAGGAGCACAAGATAGTGATCGAGGTGGAGGAGGTGGTCTCTCCAGGTTTTCCGATGAGGAGCTTCATCTCGTGTTGGATAAGATTTCAAGTGCCAAAGATATCCTTAGTGCGGCGGCTACGTGCAAACGTTGGGAACGACTCGCTTTCCAGGTTAGTCCCGATGCGACTGGTCCATGGTGCCACTTGTCGTCGCATTCCCATGCGGATAACTATATCTTCTCTCCCTCTGTCGTGCTCGACTAAGTATTCCGTCCTCGTTTCTCCAGGGTCCGTGTTTGGAGTTTGTGGGATTTAGAGGAAACTCACCAGGACGAGCTCTCACGCGTTTGGTGCTGAAAACCTCAAATCTAATTTCACTTTCTGCGGTATTTGAAGCTGCAAACGGATCAGAAGCTTTCACCTTTCATGACGAAAAACAGTCCGAGCACTATCTTTTGATGTGGCTTCGCCATTGCCCCAATCTGACGAGGATCTATTTCAGAGGATTAGAGGGCTTTCCCAGGCACCAATGGTTAAGCCATATTGGCTCCCATGCTCCGAATCTTCGGGTCTTGTCCCTTAGTGGCTTGGATTTCCGGCTAGATTCTCTGGATGCAGTTACTTCTCTGAAGAGTTTGGAGGATTTGGAGGTGGATTGTCCAAGGCTCAAAGGGGATTGTGTCGCTTGCCTCACAAGCCTTAGCAACCTCCAGAAGTTGACAATGACGGTGGATTTCATGTTCAGTGATACGTTCTCTAACCAAAGCTTAAGGTTCCTTTGTCTGAAATCAGACGCCAGGTTTGACAGGTTCAGTCAGGTCTATCCGGCAGGTTTCGAGCTGAAGCTGGATCTCCCTGCACTGGAAACGCTCAAGCTGCATTGGGTGGCAGAGCTTCTTGTGAGCAACTCGCCCTTGCTTACGCATATGGAGGTTGACTGCGTACAGAAAGACCTTACTTTTGTGAATCTGTCGAGGAATCTTCGCTTCCTAGCCTTGCGATTGCGAAGCGTCTATGAGGATCGCCACCTTCAACCTGAACCCTTGCTGCTGGCAAGTGCAAACAGTATTGAGGAGCTATATCTCCAAGGGAGAAATAGTCTTTCTGCAAGTTCGGTGCTTCAATCTCTGAAGTCCCTCCACATCCCACTTGAGTCTTATCCGTTTCAAGGTATGAGGGACTTCGTGATGCGAGCTCCATGGATCACCTCTATTGAGTGGTTCATTGATAGTCGGATATACCCCGACTGGTATCGCAAGGATGGTCCTTCTCCTGACGAAATTGCAAGTGGCCTTGGCGAGATCATCAAGTTGTGCAAATCCCTCAAGAACGTGAAGGTTGCCTTCATGGACAGCTCAGATCCCGTTTTCACTGTAGCAAACTGCATCTTGAAGATGCAGAAGGTGTTTCCGTGCTTGGATTTCTCTGTCTACCGGAATCATGATGCTGACGACCCCGAGTCTGACAGTGATTCTGGTTCGGAGAGTGAAGTGGGGTCGGATAGTATTTCTGGTCAGTCAGTTGTTTTGTTGCTGTTGAGTAGGCATGTTGGCCTTGAAATACTGTACGCGTGTGCGTACCTTGTGTGTGTAGTAGACAAGTAGTGTCTGACTCGGGATGGTTGGCTGCAATATCAACTTTGATATCTGCACTTGTTTCATGTCCCTTCCCTATGTTTGCCCTGAAATTTTACTTCCCAGCCAGACATGCACGTGCAGGTTTGATTCAGGGCATGCTTTCTTGCAATAATAGCAATGAGCTTTTTCTGTAGTGTACTATGGTGTGCTGAAGGATGGGACAAGGAAATGTAGTTATCTTCCTGAAACTGCAGACAAAACCCACACATGACATGACATGCAAGATACAGTATCTCTGCGCCAAGCACCACCCCGCATCCTTGCACCACGAACAGAAAAAGGTCGCATGAGTTTACCCATCGTTTCAACTGAACCACAGAACACTAGTCCATCGATGTTGTTGACAAACCAGAGAGCAGGCACCATACACCAAGGACCAGGCACCCAGCTTCCTCATCAGTTCCCTGCTGAACAGCAATTGAAGCGACCCAAACATCGCAAACACCATGGCACCCCTCCTCCCTTGACCTCCTGAATGATTTCCAAGACAGCTCAAACAAGAACCACCACTCCCCTCCATAGTCCCCTGGATGACCACCAAGTCGACTCAAACATGGCCACCTGTGCACTGCAGCAGCTCTCCCCGCACACCCCCCCTTTCACTGACTTTTTGAGGAAACTCGACTCAAACCGCTCCACCATTGCAATGCCAGCCTACCCACACAACCAACTGGATCCTGGATGACCTCTGAGACAGCCCCCCAACCATAACCACCACCGCACTGCAGCTCTTCCCATCCACACCCCTCTGTTCTGTGACTGCAAGGGTACTCAAACATCTCCACCACTGCCGCCCTCCCCACATGTCTCCCTGTCATGCAGCCCCTCCCCAACACCGAGAAACAGACGATGGTCCCCAGGTGATGGCATGTCGCCAGCAGGCACGGCCTCAACAGGCATGACGTCAGCAGACACGGCGTCAGCATGCATGACGTCAGCAGACACGACGTCAGCATGCATGACGTCAGCAGGCATGGCGTCAGTAGGCACGGCGTCAGCAGGCATGACGTCAGCAGGCATGACGTCAGCAGGCACGGCGTCAGCAGGCACGGCGTCAGCAGGAGTGAGCGGGCCGGAGGCAGAGGAGGTGGCAGCAGATGTGGCAGCAGCAGGAGAGACGGGCAGTGCAGACGTGGCAGCAGCAACATGCGAAGGAGAAAGAGAAGCGGTGGAAGCAAAAGAAAGCGGAGCTGCAGTAACAGCAGCAGAGAACGTGGGATTCGCAGCAGTAGGAGCAGCAGTAGGAGCAGCAGTAGGATCAGCAGCAGGGGCAGCCGCACGGAGAGCAACAGGGGTTGCGGCAGCAGCAGCAGCAGGAACAGAAACGGAGGGAGGAGTAATTCGACCCCCCAACCCCCCCACGCGCCAGTCATCCGTCCTTTCTCTTTCCGCCTTGAACTGCTTCATATCCTCGATCATCTGCTTCTTCAGCCGTAGCACCAGGTTGTACTGCGCAGTAACCGCATCGCGCCGCACGATGAGCGTCTCGTAGCGCACGGACGCCATGTCGCAGCGCGCCAGCACCACCTTGTGCTGCGCGATGGCCTTCTGAATCAGCGCCACCACCACCTGCTCCCGCTGCACCAGCCGCCCTAGCTGCGACGCCAGCGCCTCTGGCGCCGGCTGGGGCCGCTCCTGCCTCTGCTCCTGCTGTGGCTGCTGCCGATGCTGCTCTTCCTGCTGCGAATGCCCCGCCTGTTCCTCTTCCTGCTCCTCTTGCCCCTGCGGCTGAGAAAGGACCTGCCGCGTCTGCTCTTCCAGCCGCTCGTCTGCATCTGCACCCGTCCCACTAGTTACCACGCCCTCTGCCCCACTTGGCCCCTCTGCACGCCCACACGCCACCGCAGCCTGTGCACCGCTGCCCCTGGGTTCATCTTCATCTGCTCCCACCGCACCACTCGTCTCTGGCGGGGGCAATGACTCACCCTGCGACTCGTGCGACTGGAGCGCCAGTAATGCCACTGCTGCTGCTGCTGCTGGTGCTGCTGCTTCTGATACTGCTGCTATGAATGGTTCTACTGCTGGTGCTGGTGGTGCTGCTGCTTCTGATACTGCTGCTGTGAATGGTTCTACTGCTGGTGCTGGTGAAGCAGTCGTTAGTACGGCAGTAGAAGCCAAGGGGTTACTTATCCATCCTTCCTCCGCAGACCGGCTTGACTCAGTTGCTGGCGGCCGTGCTGACATGTCAAACAGAAGGCTTCCACCTGCGCCCGCCACGTCAGCAGCCGGCCGTGCTGACCTGTCGAACAGCAGGCTTTCAGCCAGGCCAGCCGTGTCAGCAGCCCTAGCTGCCGCCGCTTCGAATTTCAGCCGCCATTTCCCGCCAACACATTCGTCTCCTTTTGTTGCTGCGAGTGGGGTGCTGCGCGCGGGCGCACCTGCCGGTTCATCTAGGGGCGAATCAGAAGCGGAGGGCGCGCAGGAAGCAGCAGGCGCGCAGCTCTCTCGCGCGGAAGCAGAGCCGCTCTCGTGCGCAGCAAGGGCGCGCGGGCAAGCCCCCGTTGCGCGGAGGTGCTCTCCGCGCAAACCTCCCCACGCGGCGGCAGAGCCCTTCCACCGCGTCCCCGCCACACACGCGGAAGCCTCCAGCTGCCCCTCCGCCTCCACCACCTCTACCGCGCACAGGCACTCCCCGCACCCCGCGCAATCCCCCCTCTTCCCCCTCCCCTCCCCCGACCCTGAGCCACCGCTTCCTTCCCCGCTTGAAGAGCACCCCCGCGCAATCTCGTCTTCCGCTTCCGCCATTACCTCCCCCGCCGGGCTCGCTTCCGCTCCCCCTCTTGCTCCCCCCATCGCTTCCAGCGGCGGCGGCGGCGGCGGCAGCAGCGGCGAGGTACTGCCCTTGCGCCATGAGGCGGTCGCGGTCCGCCTCGAGCGCAAGCTTCTCCGCGCGGAGCTCCGCCTCTACGCGCTCGAGCGCCTCCTCGTCGGCGCGCAGCAGCAGGTGCTCGCGGCGCAGCAGGTCGCGCTCCGCCTCGAGAAGCGCCTTCTCGTCGTCGAGGCGCAGCACCTGCCGCTCGACGCTCGCCTGCTGCGCGTCGATCTGCACGTTCTCGAGGAGGTGCAGGTGCAGGTTGCGAAGCGTGCGAAATACGAGATCGCCCATCGCGAAGGGTAACCGCTACGGTTACGGTTTCGTGTGATGTTAGTCACTGTACGAAGGCCTAATTGTAGAAAGCAGAATGGTGTAGCAAAAAAAAAAAAAGGCTCAACTGAAGGGTACGAGTAGAAGCAACAGCTAGACAGACTTGAAAGCTAAACGAGAAGAATATAAAAGACCAACACAATCGCTCCGGGATGTAAACCTAACCGCCGAAACCCTAATGGAAACAAACACGGAAGAGGATCAAGAAGGCAAAGGCTAAAGGCGTGTTAGTGGAGTCCGAGTGGAGTCATGAACGGTTTTATGCAACGGAATGATCTCGCCATGGCTCGCAGCTCGGTGAAAGGGAAACGCTGTCAGGGCAGATCGGCTATACTGAATCTGAATAATCCAATTCGGAACAATATGACACCTCAATTGAATATTAGTACCATGCATATATAATCTCCAATTGGTTTGTCTCAGGATTTGACATTGATAATAATCCTGAAAATGCACTGAGAGGCCCACCATACTTAGCTTTAGTCTTTACCAAGCTTCTTACTGACTATTGCTTTCTTAACGGTATTTGATAGAGGTAAATTCTGATTTTTTTTTACTTGTTTTCGTAAGGTTCTCAGTTCTTGCCCTTCACCGCATGCTTGGTTTTCAAGTTTTACTGTAAGAACAAAAACAAGCCAATGTCCTGTGAAAGTTCTTGTAATCCTACCCAAATTTCTACTCGCAACCTTCCAGAGCGTACAGACCTTCGGACCGCCTGCTGCTGGGAGCCTTGCTGTGATTAGTGGAGTATAACGGGAGCTGACTGTTAGGCGCGCTGCTAGTCGCAGATGCTTCTAATGAAGGAGCCAAGGAGTTCCCAGATCCCAAGAACCCGAATCCCGTGAAAACGTCACGATCGCTGCAGCTTGACGGCAGCGATGAGCTGAAAATGGAATCCATACCCGTTGACCGGCAGCTGAAGCTGACGGTGCCGTCAGAAGAGCTGGGCATGTCTTCCTCACCCAGAGCTACAAACTCCTCCCCCTCGATACTGTCACAACGTAAGAAATCTCCATCGCCTTCGTCCCAAAATGAAGCGCCGAATTTCTGCTCGGGAGCAATGTCGGGTAAAATTGTAGCCTCCGCCATTTCCGTGACTGCAAAATCTGCTGCCGTAAAGAAATCGTCTTGAATGGCTGTTGCTGTCAATGCAGGCAGATCCGCTGCTACCGTGAAAGGCGGCACTGCTACCGCTAGAGGCGCATCCACGGATGCATCTAGGCCGAGGTTGACCCCTTCCGTGGTTAGGAAGCAAGTTGTTGGGTTGAGCCCTTCCAAATCAGCTGCTGGCCAATCCACGTCAGCTTCAGCTGACGTCGCGATGACTGCAGGTGTTGGCTCTGCTACCTCAGTTGGAAATTGATCCGGCCCGTCTTTAGTCGCCACTGGAGACGCAGCTTCCTTTCCCCCGCTGTAGTCACGCATGATACAGTCAACGCTGCGTCCCGAGCCCATTTGAGAGTCGCCATCTTTTGTAATCACACTCATGGCTGCGTCTGTGCTGCCTGCAGTAGCTGCAGCTCGTACCACCAAACCCTCCTGCCAGCTACCACCTGCAGCCGGCTTGACATCGCTCCGACCAGCGTTTTTCTCTTGAAGCGTGAGGGCCGTAGCATCCGCCGCTCTTTCGGGAATGTCGTCCATCATCAGTGCCTCCTCCCACCAGCTCTTCTTAGGACCATCATCACCTCTCTCCCCCCCTGCTCTTGCTCGCTGTACCCCTGTGCGCCAATCTCCACCGCATCCAGCCTCTTCCCCGTCGACCTCGCACACGGCAGGCCACGTCACCACACTGCATTCCCCTTCCGCTCCTTTCCCCGCCCCCATACCCCACGGTCTATGCCCTTCCGACTTGGCCTTCTTCCCCACGGGTCCAAACACGCCAAAACCAAACGGATCTCCCCCAGCCTGCGCCATCCAATCATCCTCGTCCACGTCAGCAGCCATGAAACCCGCATCTCGCCAGTCACCAGCAACGGAACCGAAGGCGCCATTGCCGTCGGACGCGGCTCGCATCGTCGTCCTGTTCCGCGGGAGAATAGGCTCGGACGACCACGACGCGTTCGAGACAGACGGATGAACGCCGCTACCCGCCGTCTGGATCGGCTGCATCGCGGCACCCGCACCCGCACCCGCGCGCGCATCCGCACCTGCACCCGCACGCGCACCCGCACCCGTACCTGTACTTGTACCGGTAGCTGTAGCTGTATTAGCTGTAGCAGTAGCTGCATAAGTCAAGCTACCGGGGGTGCTTGGTTGGAGCGCCGTGTCGCGCAGCTCGTGCAGGCCAGGCGTCGCCTCGGCGGCTTCGCTAACCGTCTCCATCGCGGAACGCTTCCGCGAGACGGGGACGGGGGAAGGAGTACAAGGGGAGGGCGCGCAGGCGGAAGGCGCGGAGGGGAGCTGAGGGGGCGGTAGAGCAGTATTCGGGGCTGTGACGGTACTACGAGGTCTCGCGGTATCATGGAGCTGTTTAGGCAATTGCTGGTTGAGGAAGGGAAGGTGCAGCAGGGGTTTCGGCTTCTGCGCAGATATGGATACTGGCGTTGTCGCAAGAGGGGCGGTGGGCGCTGCGCCGAGCGGAAAAGGTGAAGCAGCAGGGATGGCGGTCGCAGCAGGCGCAGTGGACGGGGCGGGGGGTACGGGGAGGGCGGGGGCAGAGGGCGCGGGGCTTGTCTGGATGATGGCAGCACGGGGAAGCATGAGGGGGGAGAAGACAGATGTCTGCTGAGGGGCAGGTTGGGGCGTACGCGGCGGTACCGCGGATTGCGGCTGCGCTTGAAACTGCTGGATACGCGGCTGCACCTGTTGCTGCTGCTGATGCTGCTGAACCTGCACCTGCTGCACCTGCTGTTGCTGCTGCTGCGCCAGATGCAATTGCTGCGGCTGAGCTTGCGCCGTAGCATTGGCGATCGAGAGGTTCTGCTGACTCGGCACGGAAAGAGGGCCGGAGAGCCGAGGCTCCTTGGGGAAATTCAGCTGCGCTTTTGGTCCGCGGATTTCCCGCGCAGCCTCATCGTACGCGCGCGCAGCCTCCTCGGGAGTGTCGAACGTCCCCAGCCACACTCGTCCGCGCCCGCCGGCATCGCGGATCTCCGCCGCCCACCGACCCCACGGCCGGTACCGAACCCCGCGATACGGCGCAGGCTGAGCGTTCCTCGCCTCACTCGCGTTCTGCCCGCTATTCGCGTTGATTTCACCGCCACTCGCGTTCAGGCCGCTGCTCCTACCCCGAGCGCTAGCAGTGGAAAGCCTTCCGCCGCTGCTGGCGCTGCGACCGACTGCGAGCTGGGGCTGCTGCGGCTTGCCCCGCTCCGAGAACGTCGCGCGGCTTCGCACAGGGCTGATTGGGTGCGACCTGCTGCCGCTCCCGGCGACTCCTGCGACGCCGCTAGCGGTCTCTGCGACGCCAAAGACGGTCGACGGGGTGGGGTTGGATGGAATGCGGACGGTCTGACCCTGGTGAACGGAAAGCATTTGACGGATAGCCTCCTGAACCTTGCCAGCGATGAGGAACTGCTGGCTGGGAGTTGGCGGCGACGTTAGCGTAACCGGCTGAGCGGCTGTTTTAGCGATTGAGGAAGTTTGGGGTGCAGAGGTTAGCGGAGGGGCTGAAGCCGCCGCCATGCTTCCGGGGGATGTAGCCCTAGTAGACTCGCTAGGCGGCCCGCTTGTGTCCATCTGCTTAGCTGGTTCGATCACGCAGCTGCAGTTGACGCAACGAGTGGATGCTGGCGTTTCTACGGCTAAGGGCTGAGGAGGCGCGTCCTGATCGGATGAGGGGTTGCTAGACAACCACTGCTCAAAATCGTCGGCCATATCTTCAAGAAGCGTCTCATGATCGCATGAGCTCATTCCCAGTTGCTAGACTAGCTTGTCCTAGCTTCCTTCAGTGGTTCTGGTTTGATTGAAATGAGATTTCGATTTGTGTTGCGAATGATGTTTGACAGCCAAATGGGTGGCTTTTCTTGCGCGGAAACGAGTGGGAAAATGTTGTCGGTGGCGTGCTGAAATTGGCCATACTCCACCTTCCTAGCACCAGGCTCCTCGTGAGAAGCACTGATGCGCGGAAGTCGGGGGAACGAAAACGGCGCGTTTGCGGTGGACACCTGGAGGGAGGACATGGGGCGGAGGGGAGGGGAGTAGGCGGGAAGGGGGAAGCTGGCTTACCGCGTAGGCGGGGGCGTGTGGGCGGAATAAACGAGAGATAGACGGACAGAGCGAGCTGACACGGCAGAGGGCAGTTTCGCGAAAACTCGTCTGGCAGAGTCAGCGTGTACTCGACGGTAGAATATGCTTTGTCGGACGAAGGCAGGCTCATCCAGCGGTTGAGCTGCAAAACCGGTAGTATAGCAAGTAATCCTGTTACAGGGTCACTGCTAGCGAAACTCAACTAAGGCGCCGCGGCAAAGCGGCTTTGCGACGTGACGCCGGCAAATTGACCACAGTCAGCGCATCGATGACTTCTTCGATCTGGATCATGCAGCTGTCCAACTCCAAACCAAACCAATCAACCCCAAAACTTTACTCAGCACGGCAGGGCAATCACCGAGATGATTGTGTATTTTGGCCACGGCCGGCCGAAAAGAAGTGAGCTGACTGAACGTCCGCTTACTGCCACGCGTCACAAAATGGTAAGATAAGATCTGCCTGGTCGTTACTACTAAGTACATTATTTGACGGCCTTCGCCGGTTTAGCCGGCCGAATATCAATTATGGTTTGCCCGAACCGGGCCTGCCTGAGCCACTGACCGAGAATGGATTATGGAAACGTAAAAGACAGGTCTCGTCTGGGCAGGTCAAGCTGGCTGAGTGAGTCTCCAAGCCTCGTGCTACGTTGAAATGTGGCGTGGACCTGATCAACGAGGCTTGTGAGATGACTGCGCAATTCAACTTCAACCGGCCCGCCGTTGCCTGACAGTATCTACACCTGGACTAAGTAGTGCTTTGAATACGAGCTAGTTTAATAACGTGATTTCTGTGATTAATATTTCCTCAAAGGTTGTACTGCAGTGCGTAGCGTTAGAACAAACAGGCCCGGTCTTGTATCGGGCACTCACACATCCCTTTGCTACAAAAATTGCTTTCACTAATGAAATTTTAGAAGCTTGAGGGGAGGGCTGAAGGAGCATCACTACTAGGCAGTAGTAGTCACTACAGGAATGGTACCGTACCGGTATTAGGCGGGCCAGCCAATGAACTAGTGCAATGCGATTGCACAGCAAATCATAGTAGCATGGGGAAGATGTTCTGATAGGTATCAGTGCCCGGGCAATGGGAAAAGGGATTCACACAACCGAGGGAGTTAGCACAGGGTTAGTCATGCCAATGGTGCTGCCACTGCCAAAATCACCACCAGCTGGTGCTGCTGCTGCTGCCAGCTGTCACCAGCTGTATAGAGCGCGCCCCCTGGAGTCTGGACGCCTGTTGTTTACAAGCGAATTCTTGCTTCAAATCCCCAAGCTGCTGATGCTGCTCCTTGGCTGTCAGACGTCCGCGTCAGCCACTACATATAGTCTCTATGGACTGCATCGGCGGCGCAGCAGGCGTTCGGACATGCGCACGTACGAGTAGGGTGCTGCGGCTGCTGCTGATGCTGCTCGTCCCCGATCGGACGTCCGTGCGGGCCCAGCAGGGCGAAGAGCACTCGCTCTCCTGTTGCCAGCAGAGCGAGACGAGCGCGCTGCACAGGGGAGGACGAGGAGGGGGGGAAGGAAGGAAAAGGAGGGAGTTGGGGGAGGGGGGGAGGAGATGAGACAAGGAGCAACAGCTGACGATAATGATGCTCGTGTGTGGTGGTAGGTCCGCGTGGGCCCAGCAGGGAGAAGTTTTGAGACGTCTCAAAAATGTGCAGTGGTATGTCCGCGTGGGCCCAACAGGGAGAAGAGCACTTGCTCTCCGACTCGCAGGGCGAGAGGAGCGCGCTGCAGCAGGGGAGATATGACGGGGGAGGAACGATGGGGAGGGAAAGATGAGGTGGGGAACGATGAGGAGGGAAAAATGAGGAGGGGAATGTGAGGAGGGAAAGGTGAGGAGGGAAAGGTGAGGAGGGAAAGGTGAGGAGGGAAAGGTGAGAAAGGAAAGGTGACGAGGGAGCGACGAGGAGGGAGAGACGAGGAGGGAGAGACGAGGAGAGATGGGGGGAGAGATGAGGAGAGCGATGAGGGTAGAGATGAGGAGGAAAGCTAACAAGGGGCACAAAGGAAAGAAGGTACGAAAGGGACAAGTAACGGCTCATTCACTAGACAGTTGGGTTGAGTTGAGCACCGACCTTAGGGTGCAAGAAAACCAGCCTGATTTAAAGCCCCTGGACACATTCTGATATGAATGTGAGTTCTCCCTGGACACATAATGATTTAAGTTCTCCCAATCCGATATGATCACATTCGTTGGAGAATGTCTTAAAAGTCCCTAGCAACCCCACCTTGCACAGATGTACTTAGAAACCATAAACGAAATGATCCGCATGAGTGGGTGTATAGAACTTACCTGACGCCATGGCCACGGCCCTCTCACCCCCTTTTCCCCTACCCAGCCCACCCATCCCACACTCCCCCTTCTCTCAGCTCCTCAAGCCACGTTCACATCCCACGCTCACCTCGCGACCAAGAGTCAATCTCTGCACGGTGCACCACATCTGTTGACAATGATCAGTAGTTATAATACCACCACATGCTCCCCACCCCAACCACCCCATGCACCCACCACCCCATGCCCACCGCCCCATGCGCCCACCACCCCATGCCCACCGCCCCATGCGCCCACCACCCCATGCCCACCGCCCCATGCCCACCGCCCCATGCGCCCACCACCCCATGTCCACCGCCCCATGCCCACCACCCCATGCCCACCGCCCCATGCCCACCGCCCCATGCCCACCGCCCCATGCCCACCACCCCATGCCCACCGCCCCATGCCCACCGCCCCATGCGCCCACCACCCCATGCCCACCGCCCCATGCGCCCACCGCCCCATGCGCCCACCACCCCGCGCTCACCTCGCGACCACGAGTCAATCTCTGCACGGTGCTCCACGTCCGTCCACTTGGCTTCATGCCCAAAGGGCGGCCGCGCCCTGCACCCAGTTGGAAAATACGGTAGCCCGAGAGAATGTGCAAGGTGATATTGGGCAAAGGGGAAATTGGGAACGGAGAGGGAGAGAGAGAAAAGGAAAGGGATGATAAAAACCCAAAGTAACGTCCTCAAAATCAATGTAGCGTAGGGTAAAAGGGCCAATCGTTGCAAAACGAGAACACTCAGCAAGGATCGCTGAATTGATTTCTCGTTTCCTTGCAGAAGTGATTCCCTAGATACTTGCAAGGAAATCTCAGGCACAAGTGACTCGGCATTTACCGGGATTTATTTTCCGAATATCCAGATCTGGAAATCTTTTTTATACGGACTCTGTCACCATGGGCTAACGGCTGACCTAAACTCATGACCTTTAAACTAGACTTCAACTAGCCAAGTAACTTGGCATCCCGACTCACCCGTCATCGTCATCATATCGTCGATTGCACTCCCGTGCCTCCTCATCCCCGCTAGCGCCAGCTCCGTTAAAAACACAAGGCGGGCCCGTCCACTCCGGTACACTTGCCTGGAACATGGGCCCTACGCGCGTATAACCAACCGGAACCAGCCACGTGCGCTGCAGCAGCCAATGGCCTTTGTGCTCTGCCACGCTGTCATCCCCATCGTTCCCGCCGCTCCCCCCGCTGCCTCGCTTCTCGAAATTCTGCAGCCATGGCTCCTCGTTATTGCCTTTCCCTCTACCGTTCGTCTTTGCACCATTACCACCGCTACCGCCGCTGCCACGCTTTTCTCCTCCCCTTCTCGCGCCGTCCCGCGTCTCCTTATCCCCACGTGGCACTAGAACCACGTCATCAGCGTCATCGCCTCCAGATACACCGGGTTGCACGAGTGCCACGTCCGCTTCCAACAAAACCACGTCATCATCCCCATCCTCGATCAATCGCCGCTCATCATTCAACGGCGTCCTCACGTCCACGTCAGCTGACTGCGCGTCGTTTACCCGCTCGCCGTCTAGCCGGTTATCTGCCGGCCGCTGGGCCGCCGTCCGTCTGTTCTCCGCGCACTCCTCAGCCCACACGACGACGACCGTCGCTTTCCGCTTCTCCTCCACTTCGCACAGATCGCACACCCACTCGCCGTCCTTGTCCACGTGGACCTCCTCTCCGCGCGACGTCAGACAGCGAACGTGGTAACCCGCAAAACACAAATCGCACAGTACCGTGTTTTCGTCCTCGTCCTCGCCGCAGACCAAGCATGGCGACGCCACGGCAGATCCATCGCCAACCCTCCCTGGATGTGCGGCTGGGGGTGGTCCTTGAACTGCCCTATCCTCCTGTATGAACCGTTGGATTTGACACGTGGCGAGTTCCTGTGGACTATCAAAAGTAGGCTCACGTGGAGGTGAATTCTCGAAGGCGTCGGCGACAGGGACTAGCGCCACTGGCAGCGTCGTACACATCGCCGGAACGTCGCAAGCTGGCTCCTTGTAATCGCGATGCGCGTCGAGAAAAGGCCGGGAAAAGCGCTGCTCGCAAAGCATCGTTCCTATTCCGAATGAGGCGAATTGTTTGCTTCAGCTTCCAGATCTCAGCTTTTACTAATCACTAGGAGCCACTAAGAGCCAATGAACAGTGTACGGGTCCAATTAGT